TTTCTCAGGTGTTCAAATACTTATGTTCAGCAGTGCAAGACAAATAAATTCTTTAAAAATCATACAATGTGATTTCCTGAAAATTTTTTTTAAATTCTGTCTCTCAGAGTGGGAATGCACCTACAATGTGAATTTCAGGCCCCTCCATGATTTCTAAGTGGGAGAACTTGCAAAATTGCAGGGTGTTCAAATACTTCTGTTCCTCACTGTACATATTACAGCAGTGTCAGTTAACAGAAAACTACAGGCTGCTAGTAAGACACTTTACTCAAAAATACATTGATTGTCAGTGAGATTAGAGATGGTTTTGAAGCTAGTAAAATACCATGAGGTGCCTTTGAACAATGCACTTAAATGTAGTTCTGTGGCAAACAGCAGGAAGTCACTGCAAGACCAGCCAGTGTAGCTGTGTAGCAGTTCTGCAGTGTTCACAAACTGCAGGTCAGCACAGTGTGTTTGTATTTGCTTGCATGTTTCTCCTCTCCCTCTTTTTCTTTCCTTCTATTTATTTCATTGAGGGTCTCTTTCTCTTGCGGCGCTTGAATCTGTCTGCAGAGCCGGTTACATCATCAGCTGCAATATAATTACATCACACACTAGACTGCAATATCATCTTATGATACAGACGCAGAATGGCCCGCTTGGCAGTTAAAATGATTCTTAGCAATACAGCCATTGCAGTATTTAACACGATCAGGAAAGGTTGCAAAGAAATGTCAAGTGGCCTTGCAATTGTAGAGAAGTACCACAGTACAACCTTAGTTGTGCTGCAGTAGAATGGCAAGTTGTGTTCATGATAATGTGGAAAGTGAGCTGTTGCTGCTCAGGTTAATTCTGTGAAATCAAGTGCTACCCACAGGATGGAGAATCTGCACCAGGTGTGTTTTGACTCAGGCTTCTGCTAAACATCAAGTTGAATCAGTCTTCTTTGTTTGAACCCAATTAACCTGAGTTGTCCTATGGATATCACCTGTCATAGATCTTTTACGCACAAGTGTAAATAATAATGTTAACGATAGCTGCTTCAGTTCCAAGGTCCTGATGATGGTGGTCTGTCTCCTGACTATCCATAAAGAGCTACATTGTAAAAACAGGTTGACAACTGGGATCCTGTGGGCTGATATTCATTGTTTCTGAGAATTTATCCTAGAAGTATCTATATTTGTACTCCCCAGCTACATACATGATCATAAACACAGATGTTATGGTGGAAGTGTTGTATTGAAGTGCAGTGCAGTTGTACTAGTGTACCTAATAAAGTGGCCGGTGACTGTATGTAGGTATTGGTCTGAGTGACCAAATGGAAGCTTCTCGTATCTTACCGAGTGACTTCACTAGTATGCCTCACACAAACATATGATCATCCTGAACCAGCGTTTTGACCGTCTCTCTTTTGTTTCCCAAAGGTCCAGCTTCCTGTCCTAATCTGGCTGTGAGGACGGAACACCAGTTAGCCACACGGCCCAACCAAATGTGAGTCCAGTGTTTGCAGCCCCCATCCCAGACTTCACCACAGTCTGTTTCTGTTTGTGCACCGCATGCTTCACCACCCCTTGTTCTGTTGCTGTGAGAGCATCAGCTGCCTGCACACACACACACACACACACACACACACACACACACACAGATGCAGAAATGCACACACGGACCCTGCTCATACAGCAGTAGCTGTTCACTTCATGAGTACTGTTCATTTTGTCTGAAAAAGAAGGACGGATTGGAAAAAATAGAATGTAAAAATAGGGCATACTTCCTCTGTGGGAAGAGTGTACAGACTGGACTGGGAAGTGAAGGCAATTTACAGTCCGCAGCAGTATAAAATCAAATTTTGTAAGTTTTTTTTATACAGTCTACGGTGTAATTTTCATGATACTCTGTGCACATCAGTTCTATATGTTTAAGGAAAGCTGATGTTGTTGATGTTTAATACATGGCAAAAGTATGAACATGTCATGCCGAAACAACTACAGTGTAGAGGGTTATTTGAAGAAGAATTTAACCATATGTTAAAGATGGCTGTGTAGGCAGTTGAAGCCATAGAAACAGGCAGTACTTTTCTGTACAGAAGAAGCTTCGTTTATATGATTCAGTTGAGATTGAAGAGAAAAGTCTATTTTGTGTTGATTATTAGATGATTTATGGGCAACACACTTCAGTAAAATGTTTTTTCTAACTGGTTTTTCTGGTTGGATCGTTATAAAATATGGCAGTGTTTCAGGAGTGAACTTGAAGATTTTAAAGCGACAATAATGCAACCAAACTACTGGAAGCAAGCCACTCTGCTTCACCCAGGCCTTCACCAGCACCTTTGTTGTGTTTGCTGTGTCAGCTTATGCAGGAATGAAGATCTTCCAGATCTGTGAGTCAGCAGTACTGATGTCTTCCAGCATCTTATATTAGTTGAAAGCATCAGTGCTGGAGCAGTAGTTGAACAGAAGCATATCAAATGACAGCCATGAGGTCCCACCCTTGAGTTTGACCTCTGATTAGTTTAGAAAGGCATGGTTTGCTCAAATATTTTATCTGCACTGTTACCAGACTGTTTGATAAAAGCTTAGACAGAATCTATCCACATTACAAAAGGTTCTGGAGCAAATTTCAACTAAAAGCTGAAAGAATTTACACACATTACAGATTAACCCTAATTTCAGACCTGAATTATTCACCCTTGATGAATTTGAGAATTCAGCCTAATGTCTGTTAAATCAGCTGTTGTTTGATAGGGGTCACACCAACGAGCCGGTAGGCCAGAAAGCTCTCTTGTTCTTTAAGCAGTTCCATGGTCCATTTTCCCACATGGCTGCTATCGAAACACCAGTTATAAACTGTCATGAGCTTGTTTTATTATTTCTGGTGTAATTTTTTTATTTGTTGTGGCTGAAACTGTAGTCTTGACTGAGACTACTGTGATATAAAACTGAACTTTGCTGCAGAACAGATGCTGCATCTTTCAGCCATCTGTGGCTTCATATTTTTCCTTTTTTTTCTTTTTTCTGTTCAGTAGTATTGTACAAAGTTACGATTAAAGAGCCCATGACATGCTTTTCCTTGTTTTTTGACTTGTCTACAATGTTACAGCGGTGAATTATCATCTTAGACATGACCTAAAGCTCAAAAAATGATGTAAACGTATGCTCTAGTATTTCTATACAGCAGCAACTGGGTTTATACATATCTCGCAAACTTCCGCTTGCCAGACTTTTTTTCTAATAAAAAAAAAAGCATTACGTGATAGTTTAAGGATCTCCTTGAATGGGCATAAAATCCTGGCCTGACATCCACTGGTGTCTCCACCATATTGGTAAAGTGTTACATTGCCTTGTTTATGTGTATTTCCAATAAAGCTTGTGTTAAAAACAAATGCATCCATGGTGCCATTGTAAAAGCGGAATGTTTTTGACTGTGCCTGGTTTTGTGGATATATTTTACCTCCTGCTGCTGCACTGTGACCAAAGCATGTGGAGAAAAATACAGGGCCTGAGGTTACTGCATGTTTGGGAATGCTCCTGTACAGGGACTTGTTTTACCTGACCGGGTCTAACATACAAGCAGCCGGCCAGTGAAGCCACTGCCAACG